TCATTTAACTGCACAGCACAACACTTAACAGTGATGCAATTCTTTCACATTTGTTTCTCTTCACTTCATAACACGACACTGCACATAAATAGTGAGAAAATAACCTTAGGTTTTGTCAATATGCTAGCACAGAAAACTTATTGACCAATATCATTGGCAGATAAATATTTTTTTCTCGCTTTTTTCCCTCTGCTATCAATAAAATGGCAGGACCAATTTTAACAGGCAATAATTAATGAAATCTGATATTTTTTACTTGCTGTCAGAAAAAATGCCACTTGCAAAACTGCTTACTTATAAAATACTCATTCAATTTTTATTTAATGTGAAGGAATGCAAAACAGAATTTAGGCAAAATTGGGCATTTGTTTTTCAAAATGATCATACATTACTAACTAGAAAAAAAAGCAATGCAGAAAATGGCTATTGGAAACACAAAGATGTCAATTGTTGAGATTTGTTTTAAAAAATCTAGCTAACTTATTAGAATAACTAGTGGTGCTTCAAGTGGCGAAGAATTTACCGGATTAGTTTTCTATTTCCTTTCATCTTGGCCAGCTATTCGGATTTGCCATATACTCTTGTCAGCTACCATCTATCCCCATCCAAAGTGCACTTTTTTGAAATTTTCTCAATTTTTTGGTTTCCAAATAGAACAGAAATATTATTTTAGGGATATTAAACAACCATAGAACCGCATCCTAAATGGCAATTTTCTTTGAATCATTTGGAGCCACTTTTAAGAAAATGGTGTTTCTGTAAATTTGAAATTTGAAGCTGTCTTTCACAGAAATTTTTGAAGTTTTCGAAAACTTTATTTGAAGTCATTTGAAACACATTAACTCACAAATACAATAGTGTTACAAATCGCTTGAAATGTGCTTATAAATAATGTGAGAGGTCTTTAAAAAAATTACATTCGTGTATTTATTAAAAAAAATAAAAAGTAACCCAAAATAAACTTTGTCATATTAAAGAGTGCAATTAGCACTATCCGTTCGAAACGTTTGAAGAAAAAATTTGGAGCCATTTATGAGAAACTGGAGTTTGAGCTTTTTCGAAAATGCAGAATTTTGAGTCGCATAAATACCTAAGACGAAAACCGGGTTGATTGGGAAATAGCCGATGGGTAGGGTAGGGTAAGGTATATACCTATACTACATATACCTATATAATATATAAGTGTATGGGAAATTATATAACCATAACCAACCAGAATTTAACCCTAACCCTAGTTAAATGGTGAATAAATGTACCAGTGACGTTAATGTTTGAAAACTAAACAATTTTGCACTCGAGGTATAGTGCTTATTTGCATTGGTGAATAATCTAAGATTTGTCTATTTAGAATTGCTAACAAAATAGTAACCCCTACTTCATCCACAACTAGCTGACTGAGAACAAAATGTGCCTATAGTGAAGATACCTTTAGGTTCAGAAGAAAAAGAAGGGTCCATTTCAGCATTTGCTCAATTGTTTACGAGAAACTGAATGAAAACCTAATCAAGATTTTTCAAGACTGGCAGAAGAAATAGCATTGAGCTTGTAATAGTAACAGTTATATAACAAAATATTACAAGTAATTATGGGCTTTTGTAGCAGAACTAGTTAGTCATATTGCAACTATCCATAATGCTGCAGAACAAATATATAGAAGTTGTGATAAATTACTAAAATAAATGTGGTAAATTATGAAAATAAAAAATTTTAAAATAAAGCTTTATGAAGTAGCAAATGCATACGACCATAGACAGAAATAGATCAGTAAAATTGAAAGATGTGCAAAGTAATTTATCATGAGCAGTGTTTTACCCAGTCATGCCTTTGGGGTGTGGTACTGCATCCCAATTTTGTAACTACCCAGCCTCAGAATGCTCCTTGATGTCCCAGAGATACCACAAAAACGTCATTGATCCACTTTTCACAATTCGTAGATGGGATGTTATATCTAAACCAAAGTTAATGACCTTGGCTGGCCAGTGCTTTATTGGAGCACTAAAGAGGCACTAATTTTGCAGAGAATTACTTTTTACTTTCTCCTCTTACTATGTACATGCATAGTAAAGTGAAAGTATTGTAATGCTGCAGCAGAAATCATCATGTTTTAAACAGAACCACTTGTATTTTGGGGCAGTGGTGCCTAAAACATGGGTAGATGTTGTTGATATGTATTAAATTACTTCCTCTATTATTTTGTGTAGTGAGAATCTTGGGGGTATATGTAAAAATTGCTAGACAGCAAAACATTCACAGACGGACAGATGATCAGTCTCCCTGTCTGTCCATGTGTCGATACCTAAACTGATGAGACAATTTTCTCCAAAATTGGTATTTTCGGTTTGATCTGAATGAATTCAAGGTCCTGAGAGTTAGAAATATTTTGACTTTCCATGAAGCCACAATATTTTCAATTTCTTATCAAAAATGGCTCCAATTTTTTTAGTTTAACTTTTCCCTCAGAGCATAATTGAAGCTCAAAACAATGCTGCAGGGCTCATTTTCATTGAAATAAATCCGTAAATTTCTTAAAATTGTCGAAGGTTGTTTTTTTTTTCATCGACGTCCTCTATCTACAATATTGAACATCAAGTTTTGTTTCTTGTTTATTGTAAGATCTGCTCTTCTAAGACCTCTTAATACAATCATATACAATCTTTCAAAAATATGAGCAGAATTTGCATGAAATAGTTTATTTTTAAACATTTATTTTCTCAAAAGTGGCTCCATATGTTTTTCTTTTTATTGCATTTTCAGACAGATCATTAATTGCCAGCGCTGTAAACTCTATATTTTCAAAATTTCAAAACATTGACATTGTAAAGTACAATATAGAATATAGAGATTTTTTCCATAAAGAAAATTGTTCAAAAAATTTAGTTCCTTAAAGAAGATCATGTGTAATATTTTTGAACATACATACAAGTAGTTTTTGCATAATTTGTGATTGAAGTTAATACAGTTTTTTAAAAAAATGGCTTTTGTATTAAGCAAATGGTGCTTTAAAAACTTCCATAGGTGTTGTGGAAGGTCTCATTGGAAAATAATGTGGGAGGGAATCTGCGGTTGTTTCTCTACCTGGTTTATATCATCTCATCATAAACAGAGCGTAGAGTGGAGTCTTTTAAATGTTCTTGTTGAAGTATTTTATGATGTAAAAAATCCCCAAACTCCCAGATTTTCTGATCACACCACAGGTGAATAGTCCTGTGTACAAACAAACAAACAAACAAACAAACAAACAAACAAACAAACTACCAAAAACAAAAAAACTGGTTGATGTTGGTAGTAAGGAAGGTATTAAAAAACATGTAATGTGGACAAATTTAAGGGGGGAAGACTCTGGTGAAAGATATTTTTATTTAAAATTAATAATCATTATTTTGATATTCAGGATTTAAAAATCCTTTTTAATGAATGCATGTTGCAAGAGATTTATTGCAAAATGAGTTTGGTGTATTTTCTTTGTGTCTTTGTTTAAACATTCTATTAATGGAGTCGTGTGTGAGAAAGAGTTTCTGAAAATACATAGTGAAATGTGATGTGTAAATCTTGCTGTTGTAGGTTTTGAGCAATTTTTAAAGAAAGGCATGTCCAGTGAACTTGTAAAATATGTTCACCTTAGTGAGGAAATGCTAGTTATTTTTGGTTTTATGGATTTATGATTTTCTTTTTGATTAGTAAGTTTGTTTGTTGGTAAGAATTAATTAACGAAAATTCTAAATGGTGTGAGGTAGTGTCACTACAGTGTCGCTGACAAGGAAGTTCGAGGGTTTGAGTCTCAAAGGTGTCAGAATTTTTGACACTAGATAGGTTGAGTTCATATGCTGTCTGGAGGAGACTTCTAGCAGTCAGCTGCTCTGATCGATATTTTCCATGGTTCCTCCAATCAACACCAGGCGAGTGTCGGAACAGTTCCCTAAGAAATTAGTCTGACTGCACGTGATCTTTCCTTTCTTTTCCTTGTACTATCCTTGCCCCTTTCTTACATACATGTACACTCACATGCTCTACATTATCACACTTGTTGAGACCAGTCGGGAGCTGAGAGTTTGTCTCATCTGGAGCGATGCTCTGGTGGTGGGAGATGCCTGGTTGAGGAAAATCCCCTCAAGCCAATATGTCACGCTGAATCTTGCCAGCCAGCTGGAGATAATCATTGCCACCTCTGAAAACATGCACTACAGTTACGGGAGTAATGACCTTGGCCATTGGTGCACCCAGAATATTAATCAATGAGGTGCACAGAGAATACAATTAAAAGTAGTGTGTTTATTTGAGAAAGGATGTTGTTAGATGTTTCATTGTATCAGTTTTCTATAAATGTCTGATATGTGTCTGTCATATGATAAAGTAATTATCTAAAAAGTTGAAAGTTGTACTTTTCTATAGCATTTGTAAAGGATATTGTTGGATGTAGAAAATGGAAATGGTCAGTTGTCTGCCTGTTCAGAGTACTAGTATGTCATTGACATGTTTTTCAGTGTTTTCAATAAATCAGTATTTGTTTTGATTTAGTAAGTAATCACTGCAAGGTCATGTTACTTTGTTCCTCTGCCATTCATGTCCTTTTTTCTATTTTCACTGTGAAGGAATTACGCGTAATGATGCTGTGTTTCTTCACAATTATGTAATTTATTGTGCCATTCTAAACCCAGTATTATATTCATTGTTGTTTGAAATGTTTCTTTCTTCATTGCAATTTTTTAACTCTTCAGGAATTCGTGTTTTCACTACTTTTAGAACATGGCAATATACAGTTCAAAAAGAATATAATTTTAAATTTTAAAAAAAAACTTACTTTAATTTTGTAATTTTATTACAAATTTTCAATGAGATAATGTATTCAGTAGATTTTTTTCTTTAACCCAAAAGTATCCATTAAAGTAATAATTAATGTAAGAATTCCAGAATCTTAAGATTTATTAGATTAATGATTGATAGCAGTTTGGCCAAGAACACTCTGTATTTATCTTGTTTTTCTTATTTGATGTTTTTAGGTGATGAACGTGGATGAGCTGGGAAATCGCTTAAATCCTGGCCAATTGGAAATTACAGAGACAGATTTAGTTCTACATCAGCGTCGGAAAGCTCCTGTTAAATGGCCTTTAAGGTGTTTAAGACGATATGGATTTGATGCTGAGCTCTTCAGCTTTGAATCAGGACGAAGATGCCCTACTGGTGCGGGAATCTATGCTTTTCGTTGTCAGCGTGCCGAACAACTTTTTAATTTGTTGCAAACTCACATTCAAGTACGCAATAATGCTGGAGAAGATGGTGTCTCTAGAGACTTCTCTGTTCCGTCTGCCCCTGGCCCAACAGTATCCCTTAGAGGAAGTTCTTCAGGTGACTCCAATTACTTGGACCCTGCTCCAGTGCGAACTTCTAATCGAACAGCCCCTGGAAACACACGATTTACTTCCCAAAATGGAGTGTTGTCAACAAGATTAGACAGTGTAGGAAGCAGTAGTAATGGCCCATTAAGTCCTCAGGGCACAGCGTCACCCTCTCCTCCTCCTCCTGTCCCTGTACCAAATGCAGCTATTATATCATCAGTATCCAGTAGTAATCCTAGTGTCCTTTATGCCAATGAAGAACTCTTTTCCACATCTACTACTGCAACAGACCCAAGTGAAAACAATAACAAAGAGTTTTTACGTCAGTCATTGCCAAGCAGTGTTACCATATCACTTTCTAATGAGAGTTCTGTGAGAGAGAAACCAGTGTCTCGCCTGAGTGTATGTAGTGGAGATGGTTTGGCATTGACAGGACTCAGTGATCCATGTGCTATGGCTTCATATGTAAATGTTGATCTCAGCAATGGACCATTGTCTCCTTCATGCAGTGTGGATGAAGACTCCAATTATGCCCAGGTGGAAGTATCAGGAGGAGAAACACCTGTTTATATGAATTTAATTCCTGGTCCTGAGAATGGAAGGTTACCAACACCAGATATTCCTGTTCCATTGCGTGTCAAATCCAATTTGTCACCATGTGGAATGTTGCTGTCAACACCAGACTGGGAAATAGAGGAGTCAAAACGATGTTATGCTAATCTGCAGCCTGGTGAAATTGAAGTGCCATGTAATATTTCTGCAAAACACCTTGTTGGGAATGAAAGATTGCTTCCTCCTAAGTCTTCCTTGTCTCCAAATCAATCTCTGCAACTTGTTGTATCTCCTGTGAATATGCAAAGGCAAGTAAATTACATTGTTCTTGACTTGGAACAAAGTAAAGGAGATACAGGAGGTGTTTCACCTCAACAGTTTCAGCCACCTACCTCACCAGTTGGCTCTCTCTCTCTTTCTGTTTTACCTCTTCCTTCTGAATCACCTCAGCGTATATCTGAAGGTTATGCAACAATTGATTTCAATAAGACTGTGGCACTCTCTCATTCTGTGAACCCGAATATGGTGAACGATACTGAAGGATCAAGGAAGACAAGACATAACTCAACAATCAGCGATTTGCAAACACGTCCTATTAGGCATAGTTCTTCAGACTAAATTTTGCTGTTGCTAATTGCAGCTTCTTTGAATTATTTAGTGATATTTTAAATTAAATAAGAATGTATTATGGAGATATACTACATTTATTGTAATTGTGATGTACAATAGTTGCTCATTAAGGGGTATTGGACCCTTGCATCTTCGTGTTGAAAATGATTATTAGCGAATTGCAAAGGGTGTGTGGTCACATCCTACATTTTTTCATTTGTAATAAGGAATTGGAAACAATACTTTAAATGGCAGGTTGTTAACTGCTGTGCTAATTTATCAGATTGTCTAATATTACCTATTCATAATTTTAATGAATTTTGCTTTTTGGTGTACCAGTTAATGTAATATATTTCATCTAATTGTTTCTTTTTGGCTAATATTTTTGATGCTTTATGATTTTGATGGAAGGTAATTTGAGAGATAATAACAAGGCAGTATATATAATATCTTAAATTTGCCAGTGGTTTTGTAGTGTAAGCTGAGTATGTGTGAAATCATGTTATGAAAAATCAGTTTGGCTTCCTAGCATTGTTCCTGAACGTCATTATTTTGACTTGAAGTGAACATTTACTAGTAAGCATAGAATTTTGATACAGCATTTTGTGAATTACCAGTTGCTATGCTTTAGAGCTTCCCTGTATTTGAAGACTTGAGCTTGAAAATTATTTTAGTAAAGGGTAAAGCTAGATAATATTTCTGTAATATCCTGTACAGTTTTTTTAGGGGGGTGAATTTTTTAATGGTGGTCCTGACATTGTTAGTCACTTAGCACTGCCATTATCCAAAATACGCAAGCTATCAACGAACTTTCTCATGTGAATCAAATTTTTGTGATAAATATTTTTCATTCCTGCCCTAAATGTTAGATATCGTTGGTGCAAAATGCATTGAAATGTATGTGCAGTTAATGCGTCCCTTTACGTACTCAGTGCTCATCTCGCTGCTCCTTGTCATTCGGCAACCTTGAGAGAAAAAATGTGCTGTGGAAACACACCCAGATGTGAACCAAACATTTTTAATAGATCATTATATGAGGATTTTTCCCAAGAATAATGTAGCTTTTTTATGCAAACTTTTATTAGTAAACCTGTTAACTGCACGATTTTACCATTGCAAATTACACAATTATGTTGGAGTGTAAAAGTGGCGTGAATGTGGTTGAAATCTTAAAAGTTCAAATTCATTACTATGTTAAAAACAAAAACAAAAAGACAATTAAAAGAAAACAACCAAGAACTATGAACGTGATTGTTTGTAATTTGGAGGTCAAGAGGATTGTTATAGTTATTGATGCCTAAAACGGGTTACAGTTTTTAAGAAAAATTTTTTCTGTCGATATGCTGACTTGGAAAGTCTGTACTCTCTCTTGTCCTCATTAAAAATGAAGATGACTATAATTAAACGGGTAAAATGTAATGCTAGATTTCTGTTCTTTGGACTTGATCTTTGATATTATGACTTGATGTTGAATGAAAGATAGCAAAAATTCATATGTACTGAATGTTGCCTGTTATGTTTAGCCTCTACTCTACTTCTACAATTAATGTTTTGTGATTACAATTTTTACTTTCTCCTATGTATATTGTAGTGAAAGTATTGTATTATACCAAAGGAATGATTGTCAAGTTGTTGATGGATATACACATTTTGAGGTGCACGTAATATATTTTTCATATGTTCAATGGTGTGTTTTTATGTTCTTCTGACAATGCTTGCTGCTGCAATGTTACAACATGCAAACTACTCATTCAGTATAAAAAATTAATTTCTGTACCTAATGAAAGGGTAAGATGCCTGTTGATGGTTGCTCAAAATTATACCAAAGAATGTGTCTTTCATGTAATGAAAAAAAATGACCATGTATCTGTAAATCTTAATTTGCATTTGCAATGAAAGATACAGGGGACTAGTTATTGATTACACAGTGGTGTGATTAATCTTGATAGAAGAATTTGAGAGTAATGCAGGTGCCTTGCATTAATGTGTCAGACATGCTAACTTATGCTGACATTTCTGATTTAATGGTTTCATGGTTTTATTGGTTGTTGTATGGCAGTTGCCTGATGCCAAATACCAAAGTAGTGCTATTAAAATTTAGCCATGATACACACACACACAGACACACATTCCTCTTCCTACATTGCATACTTTTTGATTTTGCATGACTGATTACTTCCCCTTGTGCCTTGTGACCATGGCTAAGCTTGAGAGCAATATAGGAAACATCCAACAGCATGATTCAGTCATGGAGTGAAGGGAGCAGGTAATTTTGTGTAGAAATTTTTTACCTCTGCTTTTTTATAGAGGTAGATTCTTGTTTAACTCAAGAGTAAATAACTAATTATTTGAAATGAGAAAAATGATCCTCTAGTGTTGAAATAATACGTTTGAAATTTTCAAACGTTTGTCTTGATATTAATTTGTTTTTCCTGGCTCATTTGGTAGCACTTTTACTGTGATAGGTATAATTATTTATTTACTCTTTTGCACATGATGGTAGTATTAATGTGAATTAGTACTAAACTATTTGTTCATTGAATCTGTGCAGATATTTTTCTCATAATAAAGAAAAGTATTCTCCTCTAAGAATTTAAAGTGGAACTTATCTCGCAATACTTTTTATTATATATTCATGCAGATGTTTTTGGAAAAAATTGTTTATTATAGGAAGAAAAATATACCTTAAGTTGTTTATCTGACATGCTTGTCTTCGCTTTTATCTGAGAATTGATAAAGTAAAATGTTTGGCTCTTTTTTTAAAATCTTTTTAAGCGTGTTAACTTTTGTGAAACATTAGGCAGTTCATGAGTGTACATGCATCATTAACACATTTATTTACTGCTTACATAAGGATTCTAAAAACTGTTTCTTCCTTCTCTCCTCTTTCAAAATTTTTACGATTCATTTTTTTTTTTTTTTTTTAAGGGTATCATTTAATATTTCTGTGTGTATTTTTTATCCAAATTGCCCTTTCATAAATGGTGTATAAAACATTTCTTTCGGAATGAAATTCAATTAAGATGCAATGAAAACTGTTATGTACTAATATGCCACTGTTATATAGTTACTAACTAGTTGAACTCTAGATTTATTAAATCATTTTGCATGAAGATAATTACTTATTTGCAACCATCATAAAGTTTTCACATGACTTCATTTATTAAACACAGTATTTTTCAGCCTTCACCAGCTTTGTCAGCCAGAGTTCACCATTA